ATATACATATATATATATAGGGGTCATGAGATTTGTTTGGTGCATTCAGGGGTTTAGGAGTTGCGATTAGCCAAAGGCTTTGGGTTTAGCAGTTCAGGGAACTCCTGGGTAGCAATAGGCAGACCCCTTAGGCGGGACCCTCCTTAACCCTACTTCTGCCTCCCTTAACTGCGACCTAAGCCCTACACCCTAAACCCCCAAACCCTCAACCCTAACCCCCTAAACCCGAAAGCCCGATGCAATGCTTGGTTTCTGGCATGCCGTACTTGCATCACACACGCCTGGGAAATGTGCAAAACTTGCCTGCGACAGAGATCAACGAACTAGCATATGCAATGACAGAGGCACCTCTGTTGAGCCACAAGTATACCGCTGCAGAAGTGCGCGACTTGTGGTTTTCAGGAAAGAAGTTGCCAGAATTTATGGCACATGTGGCAGGTAAAAGTGAGGATACCAAGCCAAGTTCAGCTGTGCGCGAGACCTTATCAGCATATGATGTCCACAGAGTGCTCTTGTCAGAATTTGAAAGGAACATTTCGAAGATAGGTTCTTCCGTGGAGGGTGTGTCAGCCCGAATGGGCAGGACAAGATTAGAGAAACAGAACACTCTGATCAACCTGTCGCTGAAGAATGAGAACTTGGCTCTTTCTTTAGACCTAACCGGATGGAGTCCTAGGATGCGGAGGTGCTTGGAGGTAGCATTCATGAACATGCTGCTACCCTTATTTGACGTCCCAGCTAAAGCAGATGTTGGGAATTTGTTTGATGCCTTCAAGACCATCTATTCCCACGCTGGATTTCACACCATGTGGGACTCTCCAGAAGCGAGCGTGCAGGGATGGTTCTCCACTGGGGACACTTTGATGCATTCCCTCATTTGCCAATTCGCCTTTGTGAAGGCGAGGGAAGAAGGTCTATTTGCTCCTGAGTCTGTGATTACCAAGCTCGCGTTGATCGATGACGTCATTGTCCTCTTGCGCAAACATTCCCAAGGAATCAGGTTGGCATACGTGTCAAAACGTATGAAGAGCTGGGATTTGAAGTTGAATACTTAAAGACGATCCTTCGGTCAGCTGCGTATATGGGAGTTTCCGAAAATTCGGGGTACCTTAATTAGGGGTCCTTATAATAAGGATCCTACTATTTACGGTACTATATTAGGATCCCCTAAACCCTAAACCCTAAACCCTAAACCTAAACCCTAAACCTAAACCCTAAACCCTAAACCCTAAACCCCTATATCTTTCTGAACCGGCTATATGTGCAAGGCCAGGAGGCGATCACGGTTTAGGGTTTAAGGTTTAGGGTTTAGGATTTGGGGTTTAGGGTTTCGCAGATGCAAAGATCTGTGCTCGTGCTGACAGGAATCGAACTGAGACCTTTGACTTGAGTATTGGTGACCAAACATTGACGTGCTATGGTCTGAATGGCAGCCACGGTCCGGTTATTGCCAAGTAGCTGAACTTTTCATGTTTTTTTTTTATATTTTTTATGTTGCAAGTTCTAAATCCCCAAACCCAGAACCCTGAAACGCCGTGATACGGATCGACGGCGGCCTAGGTCTGAGTTCGGGTTCTCATTTCTGGTGTTTCGGATTTCGGGATGAGGATTCGCCAGCAGCAAGGGTGGAGGGATGTTCGGAACCTTAACCGCCAAACTCCAAGCCCTAAACCTTAAATCCTCTTCACCCTAAACCCTAGACTCTAAGCCCTGAGCCTTAGTCCTCTTAACCCTAAACCCTTTTCTCTAAGCCCTAAGCCTTAGTCCTCTTAACTCTAAACCCTAGACTCAGAGCCCTGAGCCTCAATCCTCTTATCATAACTCTTATTGCTAAACCCTAGACTCAAAGCCCTGAGCCTTAGTCCTCTTAACCCTAAACCCTTTTCTTTAAGCCCTAAGCCTTAACCTTGAACCCTAGACTCGATTCCGTCAGCCTCAGCCCTCTTAACCCTCCTAGACTCAACGCCCTGAGCCTTAGTTCTCTTAACCCTAAACCCTAGACCCTA